GAGGTGAGGTGAGGAGAGGAGATGAGATGGGGTGTGGAGGGAGGTGGGGCAGAGGTGAGGTGAGGAGCTGAGCTGGCCACAGGGTGTTTTCTCGAGTTCCCAGGGAAGGGAAGGTGGCTGAGCTCCTGGCGTCCCTTGGGGTGCTGATGGCTGAGAGGGGCACAGGTCCCTGCAGTGGGAGGATCGCATCCTCAGTTGCAGCCCTCCAGGCAAGGGGTCGGCTGGGACTAGGAGTTGGTGCTGCGGGCCTGGGACCCTCAGCTGGGGCTCCAGAGAGGCCACTGCAGGACCTGTGCACAAGGAGGAGCTCGTGATGCTAAGCTCACTCTGCCAAGAGGACGCCCCTGGGTCATGGACAGCGGGATCCTGTGGACGGCAGAGACCTTGCCAGAACCGCGTTGGCAGCCTGCTGAGGGGTGGGGTCTGTTCTCCCCTGGAGGGAGTGTCTGGAGTCGCCCTGGGGATCTGCCCTTTCCCACCCTCCTGGTAGGTGTCAGGGAATGCAGAGGCTCAAGGCCTCCAGTGACCTGCCTGTCCACAGCTACCAAGGGACGCAGCTCTGCGCCCCATCCTGGGGCGCCTCTACCTGGCACCCGCCCCAGCACACTCCGGGGATCTGTGCAGCCACTTGGGACTTGAACAGGAGGTGGAGTGGGCACCTGCATGTGGCAGGCCTTTGTCCTCTCCCTGCTGAGCTGCCCAACTGGCCTGGCCCTTCCCACTGCATCCAGTGGAGGCCTGCTCTCTTCTGCACTTGCTTTGCCTTGTGCCTTGGCAAGTGGTGCAGACCGAATCTCAGAAAGAAGCCAGGCACACAAGCACAAACCGCCCTGTGGTGGAACTCGCTGTGAGTGTGCAGAGAAGCCGTGGGGCTGAGGGTTCTGCTCTGTGGAGAGGAGTGAGCGGAGCTTGGGAGGTGGGCAGCCAGGCTGAGGACCTGGCACATGTAGGGAGGGGAGCGGTTGGGAAGGAGCTCTGGGCCTGGTGATAATGGGAGAGGTGCCTTAACATAGCTGTGCAAACCCTCTGCCTCTCACTGAGTGACCAGAAAAAGCGCATGGGGTGGGGATTTGCAGCACGTCTTCCATGGCTGGGTGACCTCAGGACAGGCAGGGCAGTGATTAGCTCTGCGCAAGCTGGAAAGCGCTGGGGGGGGGGGTGAGCGGGGCCTGCGGCTGGTGCTGTGCAGGCCTCCCTGGGCAGTGGGCTTGCCTGCTGGAACACTGGACACCCCCTGGGAGGCTCCTGGCCTGGCTCTGGTGGGGGTTCCTGGGAATCTCACCCTGTTTGGTTTTTCCTTTCTGCCTCCCCATTCTCTGGAACCAACCCAGTTGCCATGGAGACTGCTGTTGCCAAGGCAGCGGATTGGCCAGCGCCTGGGGGGTGGAGGCTTCCCTGGGGTCCAGTGGTATTGTCAGCTGGCACTGCGGAGGCAGCAGCAGCATGGACAAGGCTGGGGCGGATGTGTGGGCGGACACCTTCACCCAGCTGATGGCCCAGAAGAAGCCCCAGGACGTCTGGGTTCTGCACCCCGAGGAGAGCCTGCTCGCGGGGGACCTGGAGGGGGGCGGTCTCCAGTTGCAGCTGAAGGGGCTTTCCAGGTGCGGCTGAGGGCAGGGAGGCCTCTGGTGGGGTCCCGGGAAGGGGAGAGGCTGAAGGTGCCTCCCCACCAGTTCTGGGTCACGCTTGGTTCCTGAGGACAGGCTGTGGCCAGGCTGCGTGTAGCCTAGGTGTCGTCACCTGGTCTGGTCCCCAACAGGTGGGTGGGGCCAGGAGACCTCAGGGCTGGGAGGCCAGGGCCCTCTTGAGGCAACCTGCAGTCTGTTCTGCTCACTCTGGCCCCTGGGTGTGCTGCCCTGGGGCAGGGGAGCCATCTGTATCCATGGTGATGCTCTCTGGTCACTCTGGGATACCAGGCAGGGAGGGGGTCATTCTGCCCTTTGACATGAATGCCACAGCTTCCTGCACCACGTGTCGGGTCCTGGCCTGTTCAGGTGTGGGCGAGTAGTTACTCTTGAGATGCACCTGGAAGCAGCACACCGCTCTTCCAGCAGGCCAGTCACACTGTTCCAAGTCACTGTGCCTCAGCCGCCTTGCATGTCTGCCCTGGGAAACCCCTCCAGCAGTCCCCCCAAGTTTCCATCACCATTCAGGGAAGGACAGGGCCTCTTCCTGCCTGATATCCCCTGTCAGCTGACAGGTCTCTTTTGGGATGTGGACCTGCCAGGGCTCAGCTCCCAGCTCCCCACATCTTCCTGCCTGTCCACATGGCTGCCTCCAACAGTGCCGGCTCCACATGCAGGGCTCAGCCAGCGGCAGGAGTTCCTGGCCTCTCAGGAACAGGCATAGAGTCCTGGTGCCATGCTGGTGACACTGTGTGCTTTCTGGAATTTCAGAGTTTGGGGCTGCAGGCAAGGGTGGTCAGATCGACGTCTGGCCCACTTGTGGACAGAGGCTCGAGCCTCATGGAGCTCATGCACAGCAGAGGAGGTGTGGGCCTGCCTGAGCCGCAGGCCTGGCTGGCTGGTGGGGGAGGGTTGAGGTTTGAGGTTTGAGTGGGATGTGAGGCCCAGGGCTGTGGGGCGCCAGGCAGATGAGCAGTCTGGGTCCCAGCAGAGCACCGAGAGGCCCAGCTGTGGGGCCTCGGCAGCCCACCTGACCTCCCCTTTCTCACCTGTCCCTCTTCCCCCACAGGCTCCAGTGCAGCCGCTGCCCGTGGACCTGGGGCTCTGCCCACGTGCACACCCTCTTCCACCTGTGGTGGGACGGGGACAGTGGCCAGGGGCTGGTGAGGATGCGTGTGTGGGGCCAGCAGTGCAGGCTGTGCCCCGTGGACACCCTGGCCGAGTGCCAGGTGAGCCCTGCCAGTGTCCACATCTTCCTCAGCAAGCTGGTCTTGTTCATCCTGTGGAAATGCTATGGGGACAGCAGCGACCCAGGGCAGTGCCCGGAGATCTGCCTCGGGGACTACTGTGAGGCTTGTGATCTAGGGCTCTGTTTCCTGCAGCAAGTGTCCGGCCCTGCCAAGGGGCCTGTGGTCAAGAGTATCAGTGCCAGGAAGGGCAGGCATGCTGTGAAGGGCTGTGGCTCTGCCACAGAGTACAGTGGTCAGCAGCTGTCCATCCACGGCAATGGCCCCACACCTGCCACCGTCCCTCTTCTGGTGGTTGACTTCAGTGAGGACCTGTCCTCTGAGAGTGATGGCCTCCTCAGTGGGGGTGGGGGCACTATAACCATCCCTTTCTCCCTTGTAGGTGGCCACTGGAAGGGCTCCCTTCCAACAGCTGGTGGCCACCAGCCACCCATCATTGGCCAGGGCTCCATCTGCCTCTCTGGAAGCTCTGTGGCCGAGTCTGAGCACAAAGGCACCCCTGTGAACCTCAGCGCCCCCATCTTCCACCGCCGAGGGCTGCCAGGCAGCGTCCAGAGGGCCTTTGCATCGAGAGGCTTCCTCTTCAAGGGCCAGGGCTTTGTCCTGGTCCCCAGTAGCAGGGCCTTCAGCCCTGGCCCTGTCACTCCTGGGAGAGACCCACCCCTAGTGTCCTATGTCATTGGCCTCATGGCTCATGGGGAAGGTTCCATCACTTTCCCCTCGTCCTTGGCCAGTGTCATCAGAGGCCAGGACCTTGTCACTGACTTCACCCAGGGCCAAGGGCAGGAAGGCAGGCAGAGCTCTGTCACTCACAGGGAAAACCACATTGAGGACCCCACTGTCAGCGCAGAGGGCTCTGTCACCTTCCCCTTCATTGTTACTGGTGATGCCAGCGATGAAGACCCTCTTATTAACATGGTCGAGGCTGAAGAAGAGCCAGAGGGCCAGGACCTGGTCACTGCTGGCCACACCCTACTTCTGGAGAGTGGAGCAGCTGGTTCTGTCCCCATCAGCCGGGGCTCCCTCACCATCCCCTTCTCAGTCTTTGGTATCATAAAGCACAAGGGCCCCAGCTATAGGGTCAGCGGTCTCCAAAGCAATGGCTTGGTCACCTACAGCTATTATCAGAAGAGACGGCTGAGGTCCAGGCCTGGCAAGTCCAGGTGTGGCACCCACCAGGAGGAGGACTTCTGCTCCCACAGGTGCCCTCGAAGGCAGCACACTGAGCCCTCGGAGGACTTCTGGATCTGCCTCTCCTTGGCCATCTGCATCTTGTGGCTTCTGTGCATGTACCGGCTGAACCTCGGAGGCCTCTAGTAGGGAGCCTGACTGCTCCCTCTGGCGTCCATGTGGCTGCCTAGCAGGCCTGGCTGGCTACCGTCCTCTGAGACCCACTGGTCTCCCCGATCTGTTCTCTTTTTTGACTCCAGTGCTGGTTTAGGGGGTCTGTTGTGAGTGATCTGACCTGTGCTTGTTTGTTCCGGAGTTTATTTGTATGTGTCAAACTCCAATAAAACGAAAGGAACCCCCCCCCCAAAACAAAAAACGGTCACTCTGCTCCCCCAAGAGGACTGAGGGGTAAGCAGGTGGATTCCCGTGCCTGGGGAGGGGCTCTCCTCCATCTCTCCCTCCTCCCTTGCTTCCTTCTCCCGAGGCCCCGCGAGCTCCTGACCGTGTGCATATTCTGTATTGGGACAGGAACCTGGGACGAGGTGTGGGGAGTGGGCACGCAGGAGGGTCATGCCCCACCTTCAGATGACGTCAGCGGGGGCACACCTCCTGAAGCCCGCTCCCTTCCCCGCACTGCGGCCCTGGTCCGTGCGCGGACTTGCAGCCGGCTCCCGCCCCCAGCTGTGCAGCCCCGGGCTGACGACCGACCGCAGCCTCCTCTCTGAGACCCCCACCCAACCAGCGCACCCTCTGCCCGGGTCCTTTCTCCAGGACGACCCCGCAGGGCCGGGTCATGAGGCCCGCACACCCCCCTGCGCGACCTGTCCCCAAAGGGCTATCATCTGGGAAGGGGAGGGACTCCAGCCTGTGACCCCTCCGCGGGGCCCAGGATCGGGCCCACCTTGCCTGCGGGGGGCTCCAGGACAGATGACGGGAGGGCGCTGCCGGCGGCCACCGGGGCCACACGCTCCAGTCCCACCCCGCGGCCGCCGAGTTCCCCGACCCCGACCAGCCCGACCCGGCATCCAGTTCTGGGCAGCGGGTAAGTCCCCTCACTCCAGACTCGGGCCTCTCCCGGGGACCCCCTGGTTCGGGACCCGGGTGTGTCCCCGTCCCCTGAGCCCACCTAGGGCCCCTCCCGCACCGCCCCCACTCCTGGCAGCACCCTCGCCCCGGGCCCCCTGCACTTCGTGCTTTCCCGTGGCGCCCCCGTGTGGCCTCTTTGCCGCCTGGCAGCCTGCTCGGCGGTCGCAGGATGGACCTCTGGTCACTGAGGTTGCGAAGGTGCTTCTCGGTTTACTCCGTTGATTTCCTTAAAACCAAACAAGCCTGTACGCACCCTCCGTCTCACTATTAGTTTTCATTATACTAATAATCAATATTAATTAGATTTCACTAATGAGAACGAAAGCTACTGAGGCAGGCACAGGGTTCTGGCAGAGCCTACTCAGTTTTTCAGCTGTTTTGAATACTGCACCTACCTACCTCGTAATGGGAGCTGAGGTGAGGGCAGTAACAAGCCACTGCAGGCCTGGGACTCAAGTTCCGTGGGCATCTGAGCCTGCACCCCAGTTCCCACTGGAGCCTTCACAGGAGCTGAAGTATGGTGCAGCGCTAATCACACTGGGTAACCAAACTGATCCAGAGACATCAGCAGCCAGAGTCCCGCAACGGAGACACTCACAATGACAAGAACCTTCTGAGCAAACGAGTTTCCTAGAGACGGGCTCCCTGCCACCAGGCCCCTGGCACTTGTGAGAGCAGGTGCACCTGCACTGGGAGGGTCTGGTGCCCTTCCCGTCACGCTGTTGTGGACAGTGGGAACGTGGTTTTATGTACCTGTGTGAGGGTGGACTCACCTGCAGAGGTCTGTGACTTCTCACTGCAGGGCTGGGGTAGGGCCAGGTTTGTCATACAGGTGGATGGGCAGGTCTTGGACTGGGGTGAGGGGCAGGAGGCCATGGAAGTCCCTAGAAGGATCATAGTGGGTTAAGCTTTGGTCTTGAGTGGCCTCAGGTAGCTGGTGGCCCTGACAGAAAAGAGGACAAACCACCTTGGACTCTCAGGAGAGGTCCTGGCTGGAGGGGAGGCTCGGGATTCCCTCTCTTCTTTGTTCTACTTTTATTGCACTGAGGATTGAACAGGGGCACTTAACCACTATGCTACAGCCCCAGCTCTTTTAAACTGTGTTGTTCAGTACTGAGGATTGAACCCAGGGCATTGCAAATGCTAGTCAAGCACTCTACACCCCCAGTAATTTTTAAGAGAGAGAGAGAGAGAGAGAGAGAGAGAGAGAGAGAGAAGAGAAGAGAGAGAGAATATTTTTAATATTTATTTTTTAGTTTTCAGTGGACACAACATCTTTATTTTATTATTTTTTTAATGTGGTGCTGAGGATCGAACCCAGCGCCCCGCGCATGCCAGGCGAGCGCGTTACCGCTTGAGCCACATAACCAGCCAAAGTTTCTTTTTTCATATTGAGACAGAGCCTTGCTAAGTTGCTGAACTTGCAATCCTCCTGCCTCAGCCTTCCACATCACTGGGCTTACAGGCCTCCTGTGTCCAGCCTCCCTTCCCTTTTTGGGGCCTGGAGTCTTGCATCCCTGTGCAGAAGAGGCAGGGAGGGGCTGGACCCTGGGGGCACTTCCTATATTGGACTCTTTCTTTGGGATGCCTCCTGTTGAGGCAGCTGTGCCCGTCTGCCAGGATCTGTCTAAAACGGGAGTGTGCTGCTGTTTCTCCAGCACACAGAGCCCAGCCACTTGGCTACATCTTACCTTTCCCTTGTTGCCCAAGCGGGGCCTCCTGGGGCACCCGGCAATGGGAATCTATCTGCAGGTGATGGTCTGAGTCCCTGTGGCGACTCCTGTGGGCGCCTGAGCACCCAGGACCCTGGACACAGGTCACAAGTGCCCTCACATGGGACCAAAACTCTCAGAAATGTTCTGCCAGTGGGACCAGTCCTGGGGCCGTGTTGGGTCCCTCCAGGCAGCACTGTGAGGGGTGCTGTGTGATCAGCCTCCACAGCTACAGCTGGCCTGGGGACCTCCCCATCACTGGAGCGAGACACTGGGCGGGTGCAGGGAGCCTCCATGGATCAAGAAGAAAATGACTTAACCCAGTTGCAGAACTAGAGAGCTGATGGACTGAAGCTGGCCCACACCTGGGCACGTGGTGAGGGAGCCGGATGTCCCCTCTGCAGCACAGCCAGGCTCGGAAGCCTTTGTGGAAGTGTTCCCTACAAACGTGTTCGCTGCTTTTCTCTTAGTTGAAAATCCAGAGGACGCTTACTCACTGCTGTTGCAGAATTTGTCTGCATGCTAGCCCAGTCCCCATCTGCAAGAGTGGCCTGAACTGCCTTCTGGAAAGTTCCATGGGGGCCTCCTGAGAAGGGTGGGGAGGGAGTCTGAGACAAGGCAGATGGCCATGGATATGTCCTTCTGGTGGGGTCTGGAGTGGCCTGCTCTGCTGCCTGCTTGCATGAAGGTCAGGAAGGGAGTCTTTGCGACAGGTGGGAGCAACTGGAATAAGGGGTGATTTTTCACAGCTGCCTCCAGCTCTGCATTTCTGCTAGGCAGCACATGGGGAGCACCTGCTGGCTACTGTCCCTCCCAGCATATGTCCAGCGGCAGCAGCAGCAACATTGACTGCAGGCCTCTGGGCCAGGGTGAGTGGCTGTTCTGCAGGGGAGGTGAAGGATTGAGTCCTCTGGTTCTCCAGTGGATGGTACACGGGAAGGGAGGGGAGTGCGACAGTCTGAACTGAGGTTGCAGGACAGATTCACAGGTGCCAGGTAGCTCAATGACTTGTATCCCCTAGACCAAGGGTTGTGGGTGCCAGGAATTCTGGTCCCTGGTTACAGGGGTCGGGAAGAAATCCAGACCTGTCCCCAGCAGGCTGTCTCTCTCCACTGCACACGTGAAGCAGGCGGGAGCAGGTGCCTTCTGCTCTCCCAACACTCAGGTCTGGCTGTGGGCAGATGCACAATCTAGGAGGGCTGCTTCTACCTCCAGAGGCAGCATCTAGGGAGCCCCACGTGGAGGGTGCCTGCCACCTCTGGGTTCACCTGAGGTCCAGGGACAGCTAGGCACTCACCCTTTGGTCCACCCTCCCTATGTCCTGCTTGTCCCTCCATCCCTCGGTCCCCCACAGCTGGGAACCACTCACTGGGTAACACTGGGGGCCAAGGTGGCCCAGCCCAGAAGGCCTTTCCTGTTTTTCTTTAAGCTGCATCTGAAGCAGTCACTCTGTGAGGGCTAACACCGGGTGACAAACAGCCCTCACCCTCGGGCCTCCACACTGTGCTGGTGATCTAGCAGGGAGTGTGGGGATGTCTGGTGATGTTTTCCTCTGCATGTCCTTGACAGCTAGGGCGTCAATTCCCCTTTCAGGGCCCACTGGCCACTGTACAGCCTCCTCTCTGGAATTTAAAGTCACAGATCTTCCCCTCAGACCTTGTTAGCTGCATCCCACACATTTTGGCTGACATTTTGATGATTGTTTGGCATGTTTTCTAATTTCCTTGTGATTTCTTCTTTGACCCATGATGCCTATCTAGCATCATCTTGTTGATCTGGAGATTCGGTGACTGGCCTGTCGTTAATTCCACTGTGCCCAGGGAATGAGTGCAGCATCTCGCTCCTGAAATGAAGATGTGCTCTTATGGCCTGACGCAGGCTAGGTCCTGCCTGATGCATGTTCCTCCTGCACTTAAGATCTGCCTTCTCTGAAGCTGGAGGCATGCTTTCCAGATGCTCTGGCTTGCTGAGTCTCATGTGCTTGTCTAGCCAGTTACTGAGAGGTGGTGACCACCGACTGTGACTGAGTCTAGTTTTCATTTCTGTTCAGTTCTATTTCTACTTCATGCATTTTGCAGCTGTCATGAGATTCTTAAGCACTAAGAGTTGTGTGTCTTCCTGACAAGCTGGCCCTTTGCCACAGTGGAAGGGCCTCTCTGTCTCTGGGCATGTGCCCTGGCTGGATGTCAGTGCGCCTCAGCTGGTGCCTGTGTGGCCTCCCTGGTTACACAGCCCTGGTGCCTTGCCTTCTGAGTGAGATCCTGTAGGTGCAGGCAGCTGGCTTTTCCTGCCTTTTGTTTGAGATGTTTCTACTTCCATTTCACGTCGTCATGGACACAGTTCACTTTGAACCCTAATTTGTTTTTATTTGTCTTGGTTCTTTGTTCCTGTGTTCCTCTATCCCTGCCTTTTCTGGGTCAGCTGACTGTTTTTTACACTGTTGAGCATTGCTGATCGTGAAGTCTGAATTCTGAAGCCTTCTAGTGCTGATGTGACCCCAAGTGGAAGAGGCCACCACGTGGAACTGTTTCCTGCACAAGAAGACTACCAGTGTGGAGCAAGGTCACCTGAGGCCATAAAGTCTATATGAAACACAAAGCCATCTTGTTTTGACTTGGATCCCATCCACAAGACCTCTCATCATGTGTGTGAAGATTCCAAAATCTGAAAAAGCTTTCAGTCCACAGTATTTCTGGTCCTAATCACCGTGTACCTCATTTACTCCTCTATTGGCCTTTTACTTAAACTTCTTGGTGTTACCCTTCTGGGAAGTTATTCTAGGGGTACACGAGCATCTGGACCCACCACTTTGTAGAAGATGTGGGGACTTTCCACCGAACGCTTGCACTGCCCCCTTTGCTGTGCCCTCTGACTCCCCAGAGCCTGTGAACCCCACGAGAGGTTGCTTTTACTTAAACCCCCCTTGCCTTTCACAGAAGCCAGGGCTTGCCTTGGCTCCTCAAGCTGGGACGTCCCAGGGTACACGTTTTCTTGGTGACAAGGCCAGGGAAGCCAGCAGAAGACGCAGGCTGGGGGCGGCCCTTCCCTGCTTCCCCAGGCTTCCTTGGCTCCTTCACCATATTTCTCTTCTTTGGGTTGGAAACTTCCTGTCCATCTGCTGTGTTCGCCAGCCATTTCCTCCTGCTCCCAGGCACTGTGCCCTTAGGTCCCAGAAGTCCGCGGGTTCCTCCAGTTTCCATTTTGGGTCCTAGGCGCTGGGAGGTCCCACCAACCCAGGACCTGA